TTCATGAGGAAGGAGTTTGGGTTTTTTCCACTGACCGGTGGAAATAAACAATTTAGGGCCAAGATCTGTTCCCTGAGATAGACCTGTAGGAGAACATCTTTCTGGTCATTTCCTGTTCACAGTTCGCAGTAAGAGATCAGTTGGCTTTTTTAATTCATTTAATATGTGCCATGTTAATTTTGTTTTAGTCAGTTAATAAGCAGTACCGAATCAAGTGCTTTAGAGAAGACCAAATATATCGATGCCGTTAAATCAACATTCTTAAAATTTATAGGTCAAACTTGTAATCTCATTAAGAAGGTTGTCAGTTTAGTTTGACAGAATTTATTTTCCATAGACCTAATTTGATTGACATTGATTTTATTACCCCTCACTAATTCTTTATTATTAGAGTCCTGTATTGAATATTCTGTAATTTTGCCTTGCTCATCATTAGACTGATGCACCTGGAATTACTTGGGTCATCCAGACCTCTCTTTCTGAATTTTAGTGCAAAATTACCTTTCCTCCATGCTCCTGGAATTTGTTAATCACAAGAGGGTCATTGGCCCCTTTTTTTGGAGGCTGTTCTATGCAAGTAATCCAGACAATCTCATTTAAACATATATAATTTTAGGAGCTCCTGTTTAATGTCCACCTGGGTTGCCAGTTAGTACTTCATGTAGCCTCTTCAGGTGTATGTAATGTCAGCTGTCTCTGTGCTGTTTCTATTAGTATCTGCTGATGAGTCAGGATGAGTGTTAAGGGATCCTTTTTCTGTAATCTAAAAAAGAATCCCTTTTTGTTTTGACCTTCACTAGCCAAAGATTTTTTTTTTAACTTTTTTTTTTGTTTCCTGTGATATTTCTGTTCTAACTGATGTTCATTTCTATTTGTTTTCCCTTTGTCTCTTAGTTCAAGTATGGAATTGACCTAAGCAGACTGGCTTCCAAAGCAAGTAAAGGAAGGTACAGGTCTTTGGCCCCACATTTTTCACAGTTGCAGGTTTTTGGTTGTGTGGATAGATGCTACAGGATAAATTGATTTATTTTTTTCTCCATATTCTTTCTCATGGCATGTTTTAATCTTGGTGATTTTAAGCTCTGAAGTGGAACTTTCTAAATAAAAAATAGGTACATTGTCAGCTTGGGCTTGGCTCTGCCTGTGTGGTTTGTTTGTTGGGGTTTTTTAAAGACTTTCAAGTCCTTGATAATTTCTAACCCTGTTACTGCTCACTCTTAGACCTGTTCCTTACCAGATCATAGGAGGTCCACTGTATGTTTTCTGCAGCTAGATAAAACATTCAGAAGGAGCAGTGGTAATAGCAATGTAACAAGGTGTTGTTTTAGGATCATCTAGAAATATCTCTTGCCTGACCTACTGAATCACAGCATGCGATGAACTATTGGATTCCAAATCACAGAAAATATTTACTATTTACGGTGCTGTTCCTGGGAAGTGTAGCATGGGAGTGAACTACAGTGTCTGTGTGGGATCCCACTGAGAGGTCCAGCTGCTTGCTTTGTGCTGCCAGATTGTGTCCAAAGAAGTGTTACCCTTTTGGAGTACATGCAGTAAGAGTACATGATGAAGAAAATAGGAGAGTTCATACTGTTTACTGTATTCTGGAACAAATCCTTTCTTTACCAGTAACAGTTTTTAGTTCTTTCATATCTAGAGTGTGTATTTTGTCTGACATAAGGTGTATTGCTCTTGAGAGGAATTTGGAAATAATATTTTTAGCTTCATGTATAAATGTTTTTGGCCTCTTAGCTGTAAATGCTTAGCACACTAAAACTTTATGATGTTTGCCACAGTCATAAAGCTTTTCACAAATCA